CATATCACTGCCAAGTAAGCAATTGGGGCCACAAAAATTGAACTTGCTGTTAGTTTTAACGAAATGATGACATCATCGGTCAAATAGGGGCTGATTTGTCACCATTTCAGGGTTTGAGGGTTCACTTACCATCATTTTTAATTGAGGGGATGATTTGCCACCATGTGAAGAGTACAGGGGCTAATTTGCCATTTTTGCCAATTTGCTTTTGCCGTTAAAAAAAAAATGCCAACTGGTTAAATTCAAAAAATAAGGCAGACTTTGAAATATCATTATTTGATGGGAAAGGGATTGACAGCTAATGACAAGCGCATGCAGTTGAAAATTTCCTGGAAATCGATGCATCTTCGGAGTCGGAATAAGATCCTAGAACTGCACATGAGGACAAAGTTAGCATATTCTGCGATACCCTCGTCGTCAGGATTCCGAGAATAAGACGTCATTTCTCTTTCTAAATTAGAAACCAACTTGTCATTACGCTCCATTGCCTATTTTCAAAAAAAAAAAAAAAAAAAAACCCTTGTCATTACACAATGCAACATATATACCAATAATTTTTTATTATCTCTTCTCATTTAGCTGTAGTAAAACATATGAATTAATATATATGTTTATATATTGTTACACAATTATTATAAAAATTATTATAAATCAATATTGTAATAAATTATTTTTGAAAAATAAATTTTAATTTATTTAGCATATGTATATATAGATAATATACACCTAAAAGTTATACCAAAAACAAAAGTATTTTTGCAAGACGTTTTTTACTTAACTTACCATTACCCTCTATTAAATATACTTTTATATCCCACTACCAATTAAAAATAGAGGCTATAATAGTAAAAGAATGTATTTATTCCACTCTTAATTTTTATTATAATAAAATATTTAAAACATTACAATCATAATACTTTATAGCAACCTTAAATTCAAAGGTTATTTAGCAAAGTTTTTTCTAGAATTGTTTTTTAACAAAAATTTCAAAAATTTTCTTTCTTGAGTTAAAAATATTCTAAAAAAATATGTATTTTTAGTAAAATAGTGCTTAATTTCGACCACAATACTTGACGGTGACCCAAAACGCAATCTTAAATTTAATCTTATCTTGAAAGTCAATTGTGAGATGTCAGTTTTCAAAAGAATTTTCAAAATTGGTGGAATCAAATATCTAAGACGTTTTTCCATGCGTGGAGATTGGGTGTGATTATAACCATAGAGAAATGTGTTAAAGTCACGTAAATATAATTATTTTTTTTTATAAATAGTTAGTTATGTTATGATATTAAAAATATTAATTTATTAAATAATAAATATTAGTAGTTTTATTATCTATCAACTTATAGTTATAGTTGTTATTTTTACTTTAACTATACAGGGCATGATTGGGGACAAGGTCTTTAATTAAATTTTTCTACCCCAATTAATTTATCTTTTATTTAGATGGATTATATTAAAATGCTAATTAACTGCAAAATCTCAAGTTTAAATTTAATTGTGATATTTATACAGATATTAAATTATTTAATTTTATATTTTTACATATTTTATGAGTATAATACCTCAACTAGTTATTCTATTTAGAATGGTTTTATAACTCTTATTATTATTATTATTTTTGAACATGTTACAATTTTTTAAGAGTGGGGGATTCAAACCCCAATTCGAGGGTTGGAAGGTGCACTTTCAATTAAGCATATAGCTGTCAAGTCATGAAGCCCAAGTGCGGTTTTATAACTCTTATGATTTTCATAAATCAACAACATCATATTTCTCATCAAAAATGAAAAAAAGGGACAGTGTGCTAATGTGGACCAAGTCTAGGGGTTTAACCGTAGATTTTTTTCCTATAATTTCTCTTCTTAAGATGGATCTCGCAGCTTCTAGACCGAAGATAAAGAGCTGGAGAATGATTCGGGTATGGTTATGGCCACACGTTATAATAGTAAGGTCACATAAGTTTGTTTAATTTAATTATTATTATTTATATAAATTAATAATAAAAAAATTATAAATATATTTTTAATTTGTAATTTAACCATATATTTCAATTGAAGGAAATAAAGGGGAAGGGAGGGAAGGATAAGTTAAAAGAAAAAATAAAATAAAGGAAATTATTCCCCTATCCTCTAATTCTTTTGATAACTAAATAGGAAAAGTTTTCCCCCTTCTTTCTCCCCATTTTCCTCAACTCAAACATATTGTAAATTTATAGCCGTTTACCAAAGGTTTCATTACTAGAAAACAACATATAATCGACAGTAAAAAAACTGTCGATTTTACTTATATCATCGACAAAAACTCTGTCGAATATAATAAAGTGTTGATTATATAGGTATAATCGACAGTCATTTTGGCTGTCGAATATACTTTCTATAATCGACTGCCATTTCTGTCGATTATACCTAATACAATTTCATATATTTATATATTTAGTAATAAA